CTCCTTTCGATTGTTCTAGTACTTCGCAGATCCATTGTCATTGATATAATTTGACACATGCCCTTTGATGACTGGCGACCTTTACTAATTCCTCAAGTTACCACTGATGGATCACGTGTCAGACTATGATTGGCTGATACAAAATATATGGTCAACACACACATATTCAAAAAATTTGCATAGGTAGTCAAAATATTAACATACATAGGTTAAAATAATTTGGATAGATAAGTTAAAATAATTTGGACAAATAGCTAAAAATATTGGCAAACATATGTTAAAATAATTTGGACAGATAAGTTCACATAGAAGTTCAAAAATTTTGCACAGATAGATAAAAATAGTGGCATACGTAGGTAAAATAATTTGTACATATAAGTTAGGTAAGAATATTGGTATACATAGGTTAAAATAATTTGTACAAATAGGTTAAACTAATTTAGACAGATAGATTCAAAAAATTTTGTATATATAGGTAAATAAAAATATTGGCGTACATAAGTTAAAATAATTTGGACAGGTAGGTTAAAAAAATTTGTATAGATAAGTAAAAATAATTTGGATAGATAGGTTCAAAAAATATTGGCATAGTTAAAATAATGTGGACAGATAGGTTCAAAAAATTTGTACAGATAGGTAAAAATATTGGCATACATAGATTAAAAGAATTTGAATTGATAAGTAAAATAATTTGGATAGATAGGTATTGACTTATTTGAAAATTTGAAAATTCAATAATTCTTTTTATCTAAATTTTGATTTTTTTTATTTTATAAAATTTGTATTCATAGAATTGCCTCATCAAGATCTTTAAATTAAGATGCATGATAAATATGAAATTCAAAAACAAAACATTGAAGGAGTTTCACTGTGTCAAATTTTACTGTGCAATAACAATGAAATTTCTTTGTCCTTTTTTTAAAATCAAGAGGTATGTTATTGAATTGGGAATCATATATATATATATATAGAACTTGTAAAGTGTTTGTGTGTAAGTTGCTGAGACAATGGCCCAAACAAAGAAGCCCATCAAGTCACCTCTATAAAAAAGGAAAGCATCCCATAAAAAATAAAAAATAAATAAAAAAAAGAAGAAGAAGAAGAAGAAGATGAGAATGGAAAGCATCTCATAGAAAAAAAAAGCAGTCTCATCTCAGCAACTTACACACAAACACTTTACAAGTTCTTCCTTTATTCTCTTTGATTGAAGGATTTTAATTTTATCATCGGAGTGTCTCTTGCTGGCAATCTTGGTTGGGTCACGTCAACTACATTTATTTTTGCAAATCCACAAGTAAAACTTATCTATTCATTAGATCTCTTTAATAAATCACGTGAGAAGATTTTATGGGTCTCACATATATATATATATATATATAAACAAACAATGTAGGAGTAAAACGAGAGTCCCAACAGAAGTGTTTTCAATAAAACAATGAATAGTAAATGAGATCTAAAGCATACTCTTACGTGTGAATTTTTAAATGGATAAAGAGCATCAATAGTGTGTTATTCTTCATGTCAATAACAAATTTTAACATTTTGTGAAGAATCTATAACAAATGACATGTACACTATTAAAATAACATTGCTAAATTATAACATTTTAACAATATACCATATACTAAAATTTAACTTTAATATTAACATTTTGTTACCAATTATTGGAGATACCCTGCATGTAAATGGAGTGGATACCTGTGAATCATTAAATAGTTTTTTTTATTTTTTTTTATTTTCTCATTTTTTAAAAATGATTGAGCAGTTTATTTTGAAAACATTTTGATATATATTATTTTGATAAAAAACCAAAATTTAGTGTATTATATCATGTAACTAAAAAATAAGTACTAAATTTTTTTAGAGTTAATTACGTTGATCTCTCTTGAGTAAAAAAAATAAAAATAAAAAATACAATTAACTCTATACTTTTGACAAAATTATATTGGCTTTTCATATAGTACAGGCCAGCCTTAGGCTAAGATCATTAAGGCTTGTGTCTTAGGCCCTAAAATTTGGCCCAAAAATAGGACTCCAAAATTCACTAGTAGTATGTTTAAAATTTAATAGGGCCAATTTGATTTTATTGACTTAGGGCTAGTTTAAAGGCTTCCAAAAAATTCTGTTGGGCCCAATTTAAAAAAAACATTTAATCACAAATGTGGTTAGGCATAATTTAAAAAAAAAAAAAAGAATTAAAACATATACAAGTATAGTTGGCCCAAATAATGGAATAAATAATTTTACCCTATTTTTTTTGTCCTAATTTTGTTTTATTAAATTGTATTGCATAATTTTTTTGCTATGAGATATCATCTAGTGAAAATAGTGAGTCAACTGTGTGTTTTGTGTGAAAATTGATAATATAGTCATGTTTCCTTTTCATTTATATTTGCATCACACTACTGGTGAAGCAAAATTATTATCCTACTCTTTAATTAACACAATATGAAATCATTTATGTTCGCTTCACACTGTTAGAACATTTCATTAATTAGATTTGTTGATTAATTAGTTTGTTCTGTTTATTTGAACTATACATTTTGGTAACATTTTTTTTTTGGGTATTCTGGAATGAATATATTTTGATATATATATTTTGGTATCAATTGGCAGTAGTAGTACCAAATAGGTTGATTTTTATTTATTTATTTTATGAATATATGTCCTGTTTTTTGATTTTGCCTTAGGCCCCGAAAAAGTCAGGTCGCTTAGATATAGTAATGATAACTTTAACAATATTAATGGAGGCAATTTTGATATCAAATAACACTATTACTTGGGTAGTTCTATTTGCATACCCCCATTTGATAATATATATATATATATATATTATAACGACTGTATCCGTCAATTAAATTACCTTTTCGTACACAAATCCTAAAATCTAATCTCTTGATACACTTCACTAGCCACCAATATCACCACCTTTTCGTACAAAAATCCTAAAATCTAATCTCTCAATACACTCCACTAGCCACCACTATCACCACCTACCATTGTCACCTTCTCTACCTCTTTCATCATCCGCCATCCCTTCTACATTCTTGTCGCTCCTCCTCTCTAACCGTTTCCTTTCCGCTTTCTCTTTTCTTCTTTTTTTGCTTTCCAGATCTAGGATTTCAAGTTGAAATGAGGGTGGAAGTATGGTTTAAACTGAATAAATGTGTAAGTAATTCTATTTTCACACACTAATTTCTCTCAGTATACATGCTTAATGAACACATTCTCAATACACACATTATAAAAATATAAATTCTTACTACACATCTCTATACACATTTCTATATTTCAATATTACCCTAATTTTCAATTTTAAAGCCTTAAGGCTATGTTTGGTTTCAATGTTTGAATCAATTTTTTGAATTTTTTTTGAGAAAATTATAAATTAATTTGACAAAAACAAATATCAAAAAAATATTTTAAAAGTTTTTTGCCCATAGAAAGATAAAACCATATTGAAATGAGAAGTTTTTATTTCTTTTTGAAAACATATTCTAAAACTAAATTAAACATAGCTCTTTTTTTTCTTTTTTTTTTCTCCTCATTCACCTACTCCTCTTTTATTGTCGTTACTGCCACTTTCAACCCTCTATTGCCGCCATTGCCACCACCACCACTACTTCTAGCTCATTTTCTTCCATCCTAGACTTCCACAATCAACCTTAAGTGATTTGCGGTGGAACACTTGTGGGAGTGTATTATTCATGGCGAATCGCAGGCGAAGAGGGAGAGAAGCGATGGGAGGGGACGGCGAATGAGAGAGGTGGAGCTGGCGATAGAAAATGGTTGTGAAGTTTTAAAATTTGGGTTTGGGTAAAAGAAGATAAGGGTATTATAGTATTTTTATTTTAGGACAAAATTATATTAATGAAAATTTTCATTAATTGTGTGAACTAAAGAGAATTGGTGTGTGGAAATAGAATTACCCTAAATGTATACTAGATAGATTATGATATATGCAAATAAAATTACCCCTGTTACCCTTCTCTCTTATCTAATAAATTCAACTAATTATCCCTATTCTCCTAATAATGTATATTTTTCAAAATGGAATCACTACAAGAATTAACACTTTTGGCAACAAAAAAATTGGTCGCTAAAAGTCTATTTTTGGTCGGCAAAAGTTATCCGCGACCAATTTTTTTGGTCGCTACTTTGGTCGCCAATTGAGGGTCGGCAAAAGTAATTCGCGACCAAAATTTTGGTTGGTCGGCAAAAGTTGGATTTGCCGACTAAATTTTTGGTCGCTAACGATTTAATTACCGCGACTAAATTCTTTTGTCGCTAAAACACTTTGGTCGCAAAAAGTCGCCTTTTGCCGACCAAATTTCTTAGTCGCCAATTGACACATTTCGCGACCAAAAATTTTGGTCGCCAATTGTGACATTCCGCGACCAAAAATTTTGGTCGCCAATCGTGACATTCCGCGACCAAAAAATTTTGGTCGCCGATTGTGACATTCCGCGACCAAAAATTTTGGTCGCCGATCGTGACATTCCGCAACCAAAAAATTTTGGTCGCCGATCGTGACATTCCGCGACCAAAAAAAGTTTTGGTCGCCATTTGTTACTTTTAGCGACCAAAACTTTTGGTCGGCAAAAGTGAGTTTCCACGACCAAAAGCTGTTTTGGTCGGCAATAGATGTATTTTTTGCGACCAAAACTTTTGGTCGGCAATTGTCATTTTTTGCGAAAAAAAATTATTTATTTGTCGCGACTAATAAATTGGTCGCCAAAGCAGGAAAACAATACACCTGTAATTCCTAATAATTCATTCAATCCATAACAAACCTATAATTTTAAAACATCATTCAAATTAACTAAATCATTAACATTCAACACAATACAACTATTCTAAGTTTTCATTCACAAGTCACATCCATCTAGCATAACAAATTGAAACATAAAACTATTTGTTATCCATGCGCAGCTATCAACAAATAAAACTACTAATATTTGCTATCAACAAGTAAGGTGCTAGCAGCCGCTTTAGCATCCTTATGTTCCTAATGCACTCCACTGCCTCCTGATTTGTCATTACCTGATACCAAAAGTCCAGTCTGTTCAGAAATATACATTACAGGAAAAAAGAAAAATATACACAAAAAAAAAACAGGTGCCAATAGAAACCAAACACGGAATGGGACACAAAACTCTGTGTTCCTAGCATGACTGATATGATACAGATCAATTACAACACCAAATTTCACAAGCAGCAATAGCTAGAAAATGTTAATATCAGTTGAATCAACACAGACAGTGAACTGATATGTACCAATGATAACAAATGATTTAGTAAGAGAATTTTAAAATTTGTAGACAAAGTAGAAATGTATGTATATTATATTATATAATCACAATCTACAATATAAACAGAGTAATTAACACCAAATGACCCATAATACAGTGATGACGATAGTTTTTACCTTATCCGCTAGTTGAAAGCTCATGACTGCTTGATATGAACTCATCAACTTAAAAAGGGCAGCTAGTGTTGTCAATAAACATTGCCTAAACTTGGATTCAGGTATTTGATGGCATAGATCACTGTAGGTAAGTCTGGAACTGGAAGATATTTAAAAACTAAATCAGAACCAGCATGGTTTATGCTAAACCAAACAATGTATGCAGAGGACATAAAAGTAATACCTACTACTTTGCATATTGGAAGGTTCCAGGTCCTGCCAAATTTAAAATAGATCTCAATGAGAATGTCGTTCAATGAAAGTGTCTGCGTGTTGTGTGTGTGTGTCATTCAACCATTATTTAATTATCCACCATTATTTAATTATCCACTCTATCAAGGGCTATATGCAAGACACGAGGGACATGCACTAAATATTTATTTTATATATTATATATATTAATATTTTATTCAAAGATAATAAAAAAATTGTAACACAACACTATATTCTAAAGTTTAAAGGAAGAGGATTAATAGGTATAAATTGTTACTTTCTTTTTTCTTTTACCATTGTATTGGTTAAGTTACTTATTACTGTGTTTCGTGGGTGTGTGTGTGTGTGTAAGCATGGACATGTGTGTCCCCCATGCATCAGAAGTGGTCCTGGTCTAAAACTAATAAAAAAATAAAATAAAAATAGCCCACTGCTTTCAAATCAAAGTTTGAAGGGTAATATGAGAGCTATGTGTAGTGACGCCAAGGTTCAATTCCCATTTGACACTAGTAAAAAAAAAGGAAGAAGAATAAGCTGTGAGGAGGGAGAGAACAGACATCACAACACTTTAAATCAGCTAAAAGGAAGCCTTCTCATGCCTCAGACTTGGGTATTCTCTACTCTAAGGCCCAACCTAGGCATCCCCTTGCTCATGCGTCAAGAACATCATACTCATCTCTTCATGATACTTAGTGTTGATGTGACTACTGACAAGAATGTGACCACTTTAAGTTGATGTGGATCCCCATCCAACTACGCAATAATGGAAAATAAAACTCTTCCAATCGTCTAAATAAAATAAACAAATAAACCAAAAATTTATTGCTACATAGGGTAAGTCAATACTTTTGGAGATCGCTTTCCTTTCTCCAAATTTGTCAGCAACAACGGCCCAGGCAGCATAGGATTAAATGCTCATAATAGAATCTTTTCTTAGTGATTGATCTTCAGTCTTCACTAAAGAAAGAGCTGGTACAAACTACATGGGCCGCATTCTGCATGACACAAGCATGCACCCATAACTCCATTTTATACATTAACATTGTCGTGTGCAGTGTGCATCACAAGCCAAAGGAGAAGTGTAAGGCACCAAGCTGCACAAAGGTCTGATGATAATAATTCCATGTTGTGGATTTAAAGGTCTTATGAACAGAAGAGGTTATTTCTTGAGTTTTGAAACAGGTGGGCTGACAAGAAGAATGCTAAAAATATTGCGAACTAACACAGGTAAAAACAGCAAGTATGCTTTTTTTGGTGTGTATTGCCAGAGGAGCCTACCCATAACCCACCCAACCTAGATGAAAACAAGATCGATTCTAGGTCCCTGGTACAACTACAAGAGATATTACATTACCAGGTAAGCTAGCTGGCACCTTTAGTAAAGAAAACATTAGCACTCTTTGCAATAACTAAAAAGAACTTGGTCATATGAAACAATTACCTATCTAATCAACTAAAAATCAATAAATCAAAAGACAGTATAGGACATTAGCTGCCACTTGCTGAAAACCAAATTGACAATCATGAGCAAGAAACCTCTTCGTAAATTCTTCTCAAGCTCCTCACAATACTTGACCATGGGGCTTGCTTCCATATATCGAACTCAACTCTTCAGAGCTTGAATGGAAGACTATACCTCTGATGAGGAGGTAGTCCAGCAAGAGCACGAGCAACAGCTGCTGCTGCTACAGCTCGTGCAGGAACCTACAAGATAGTTAAGTCAATCAGAATCAAATATATAAATTACAGTGCAGCAATGGAATATATACAAGCAAAAGCTAAATACAACTTACAAATTGTTTCTTTTTTTCTTCCTAAAAACAGGAAGATGGGAGGAGTTCTGAGAAAAATTGACGTTTTAGGAAGCAGAGTCATCAACCTCCTTGTTAATAAATAAGGATAATGCCTAGCTCAATAAACTTGAATGCATGATCATATTAGTTGACAAGTCAATTGGTTGGTCACTTACTCTTGATGGTTTAAATTCAACCTTATCATAAAATGGTGTTGAGATCCATACCATTTCAAGATTCTCAATTTCAACATGTAAAGAGTCTAAACAAAGAGAAAATTTGAGAAGGCCTATACTGATGAAACCCCACTTTAGAGACTTGTGGCACAAGAGAAGGGATTATTTTAATTTTTTTTTTTTCAGTGAATTTCCCACCCCCAAATTTTTAAGCGGGGGGGACCCCCAACTATTTTTTAGGGGGGGGGGGGGAACACTTCTAATGAACATTCGTTAGAGGCATCACACTATGTTCAAATTTCTGTTATTTCTATATTTATTGCGAGAAATTTTAATGGTCTCACATTTTTGTGGAACAAGTACTTTATAATTTGATAAGTAAACTATTTCATCATGAGCATATTGCATTGCTTATTAAAAAAAAAAATCATTCATGAGCATCAGAGGGCAATACCACTAAAATCCCACCAGCATCTATGTTATTTAGTTTTTAGATAATCATTTAACCAACGGGAAGATAGAAGATATAGACATGAAATAAGTCAAGCAATCTGCAAAACCTTGCAACAGATATAGAGCAAGCTAACAACAGTTCCATCTTAGTAAAGTCCCACACATGTTGTAATATTCCAGCTGTATACGTTGTTATTTTGTTATAGGTTTTAGTTTGTTACAGATTAACTGATACCAGTGTTAGACTATGGTTTAGATAGTTAGATTCAAGGTTAGGGGGACAGGGGGGTATTATTTGGGGTTAAAGGGGGAAGGTTTCATTTGAAAAGGTACTAGTGTATAAATATAATTTCATCCTTAACAATTTGATTCGATTCAATACAAGTATATTCATTTCTCTTTTAAGACACAAGTTCACCCATGAGTTTTTCTCAGTTTATGATTTTCCTCTGCCTCCTCATGGTGTGCCAGCTTTGGCCTTTGCAGCCTCTTCTTGAAGACGTAGATTTGTGGAAATTCTCAATCAGTAGTGAGCTAAGCCATCTTGCCCGCAACTGAATTATTCTAGCACCTCCAAACCTTAACTCATTTTCCTATCCTTCAACCTCTAACCTTCAGACTCCAACCAATTAATAGACTTACTTTCCTAAAATTTATAGAAAAAGATATTCTCAGCATTTCATAAACATTCACAAATAGTGAGAGAAGGACCTATTTGAGGCCAAAACTAATAGGAAGGTTGCCAAATTAAAAACCAATGTTTAATTCCTTTAATTTGGTTTTATAAATTGTGACATGCAATCGGTCAAACCGATGTAAATCTCAAAACTAACCAAAGAAGGAACGAATTTTTGTCGTGAATAACCTTGAAGAAAACCTCTTAAGTTCAACTATCCACCCAGCTTAATACTCATCCATACTATGACAGAAAGGAAGTAAAGGACCTATATTTTTAGAAAAATTATTAACAGGACCTTTGATATTCCATATACTATCCTTACTTTTTCGTATAAGAATAATCGTTCTACTCATCCACATTTATTTTCTAACCTTGTTTCCATGGCAATAGATACAAAGGCAAAGCCTTTCCTTCTCGACGAACAACAGGCAACTTGTACATGCTACATTGGAGAAAACATCTTCCTCGACTGTTTGTAACCTGCAGAATGATAAAAAGGCCAAAAGCTAGTCGAGGGAATTAAGTTTGAAGATGAGGAAATAAATTTAAACATGATAAAGGATGCGTAGAAATATAATAGACTAATAGTCTTCAATAAAAGAAAAGAGAATAATGACAGAGATTTCTCGTATAAATTGTTTAGCAGGTCTAATGCAATCACAAATTAGTTGATTCAGAAAATTGTTGACCATAATTAAATTTGAAGATTACGTGAATGCAATCAGAAAATTAGGTTGATTCGACAAAATGACCAGTTGATGTGATGTGTGATGGCCTTGTTAGCAAGGGGGGGTTTGTTTTTTTCTTTAATTTTACTGATAAAAAACCCAATGAATATTGATCGCAACAAATAAATAAATTTATGGTCACTTATGATTTAACCAAACAAAACAAAAACAAGAGAAATGTCATTTTCTCAACTAACAGTCCAAATTAAAATTATACTCTGTCAAGTCAAGATGAATATTACACCATTGAAGCAAGCTCAAGCAAAAAATATAATTTTTTTAAAGAAAATTCTAAACAACAAGGGCTTTTATTAGAAGCCTCTTAACAAAGGACTTCCCATCAAACCATCCCAAAGAGGTGCTCCAAAATTCAAGATTCCATGTAGAATGGCCCCATAATTCCTACGCTTCAACAATGACCACACCAACAAAAAAGAAAAGGCAATTAAAAATTACCCTACCAACACAATGCCACTAAGATACATTGAAGGGCGACAAAAACCAAAACCCATATAGCCATATATAAGATTTCAATTAATGACTTGCTATGAGTAGAAACATAAAGCCAAAATTCAGTGTTTGTGTACACTTGCCTTCAACATCATCTTCATCTTTGTCATCATCTCATCGCATCATCCTCTCATTTTTCATCTTTCAATCACATGGCTTAAATCAAAGCTGGATCAAATTTACTCAACAATTACCAACCATAGAAAATAATTTGGGTGCAGCATCAAAGCGAGTGGTTAGAAGTTCTTGGACAAAATCCATTAATCATTGCCAAGTATATGATGCCCCCATCACTAGAAAGCTAAGCAGTGAAAGCAATAGATTAAATAATTTTAAAAAGTTCAATAATCCTTCTCATCAATATCTAAATTAACGGAATTTTTCGAAAACCAATTGTAGAGATTGTTAACATTTTCTAAAGTAACCAAAAAATCCTAATCACTGAAAGACGCAAGATCCCATAATAAACAAGCTAGTGTCATCAGAAGAACTGAACCAGTTGGTTGAACCTAGTCCAACCACAAACCAAAGATCCACCAGTTTGGTGGACTTTAGTCGGAAGTTGGAACATTTAATGATTAACCAAAGAATCCCTTAAATATATTTTTTGATAAGTAAATTTTTTTTTAAATCAATTCATGCAATCATACCGATCTTTTCATAAATAAATAAATCTATTGATTGAATCTGAGTTGAGAGATTTATCTGTAAAACTGGGACATGGGTCTTTCCCCTCAGGAAATAGAATAATTACTAAAAATACTGGAACAAAAAAAAATGGGGGCTTTAAAGGGGATGGAACCATGAAACACTCAAACCATAATCACTATATCCAGAGGGCATGTATGCAAGACACCAATCCTGTGTCACAGTGGTTCTGTTTGTACCATGCATGACCATTAAGCCTCAATGTTGCTATTTAATAAAAGGAAAAGAAATCAAGGAATTATTTAAAGTGTTATGCAAAACAATTTTCATTGAAAACAAACAAACAGCCAGTGTTTCAACTATTGTTCTTCTCTTTTGTATCCCTCTGTTGTGATGAACAACCAAGGATTGCTTTACAATAAAAAGCCAAATGAAGCTTACCTTTCCTCTGAATTTGCAATTGTCTGCTGATGGAAAAAAAGCCCTTTCATTATTATGTATTGGATTAATACACATCCTAGAAGGCATCACAAAAGTTTCTGCAACAGATAGAGTAGTTGAAGTCAAAACACTTATTACCAAGACTATGATAATCATTAGCACCAACAGAATGAATTTCTTAACTTTCAGGGTCTCACAAGGCATCTTTATGCCAAGACTGAATCAGATTACTTACTACAGCTATTAAAAAGCAAGACCATACTTTAAACTTTTTTAACAGCTATCTTTTAAATCTAGTAAATTAAGAAGAAACAATCAAAGAAGCCAACTCTTACTAAAATGCACATCACTTAAAAAGAAATGGATTTGTTAAATTACAAAAGAGGAAATAAAAGATTGTTGTTTTCTCTCCTCCCTTGTTTTAGTAATGCAAGTAACAACCAGTGGTTAAGTGTGAAGTTTTAAATAGTTTTCCATTGAACCAATAAAAATCAAAAAATTCTCGGAATGCTTGACTAACAGGTATTTTTAGGGGAAGTCTCTGAGAAGGAATAAGGTGATGCACCAGTAAGCTATTTTCCAAAAGCAAGGTTTCTGGCATTACGAAGGGGGGAGGATTGCTGATGAAAACCACCATAAGAAAATTTAAAGGCGCAAATTTTTTTTTTTTTTTTGATAATGAAATTAAAAGGGACCTGAAATAGAAGAAAGAAAAAAGGGTCAGTAGGGCATTAAGCATACAGTTGTAGAGTGCCAGTTTGAAGTGTGCAAAATTTACACATAAATTTAAATGTAAAGAAAAGACTTGGGAAATGAACACAATAAATCGAATCAAATAAAAATCCCATAGGAGCCAAGACGACTTTAAATGGAACAACAACCTAGACTTAAAAAAATTCACTTGTTAGGGTTTTCAAAAATAATAGAAGGAGAGGGAAAGGGGCAGAGTGAGAGCAACAAACGAGCAAAAGGTCGAGAAAGTGAGAGAGAGAGAACTTAACAGAGTTCATAGTCGTCGGTGGTAAGTCGCAGTAGTGGTCGCGCCAGCCCTGCCTAAAGCAGTGTGGCAGGCCGAACTGTGATCTTGTGTTAGAGTCATCCCAAGATGTTCCTCGTGCGGAAAGCTAGAGGAAGCTGGTGGGGCTTGAAGCAGGGGGCTTCGGAGGGAGGTTCCTAATTTTCTTCTGAAATATCGTCCGCATTGAGTCGAAGCTCCTTCCAC